TTTTTTTTTTTTTTTTTTTTTTAACCATGGTAATGCCACCTCCATGGAAGAATCCATGGGGGTGGTATTATGCCACCACTTTGTCATAATAATTAAAAAAAAAAACTTATTTAGAATCGAACAAAAAATAAACAATTTAGCTTTTAAAATGAGGCCTGCATTATTTTGATGGGGAAATTTTTGTTGTTTGCTAGGGTGGCATATGTGTGATAGAAATACTATGTCATTGACTAAAATAGAAATAATATTTAATAAACGGTATAAAATTAAAATCTATTTAATAGAGATAAATTCTACCAAATCATATTATTAAGGGGCTAATAAGGTGAGAGGCCAATAACCTTAAAATCTATAAATTAAAAGGATTAAATAGAGAGTTTGGCTTTTTTCTACTTTTAAAAGTGTTTTACTCCATGAATAATATCTCTAAAAATATTAAATTTTAATTAATATTTTTAAAAATTAATTGTTAAATTAAAAATTTTAATAATATAAATCATATATATATATCAATTTTTATATTGATCTAATAAAAATAATTAGTTTGTTAATTATATAAAATTTAATATTATTAAATATGTGTCAATAAATAAATTTTTTATTAAAAAAATATAAATATTAAATTAATATAAAAATTAATATATATAATTTACCTAAACAAAACATTTAATCTAATCATTAATTTTTAAAAATATTAATTATAAAATAAGTTTTGGGCCGACAACCAGCATTACACTAATATATTTTTTTTCTATCATCAAAAGAACTAAAGGTCCAACACTTCGAGGCCTATTGGCCCTCTTTGCGAAACGTGCTTAGGACTATCAAGACTTGGGTTCTAATCTCAATTCCTCTTTCCTCTTCCTCCTCCAAGTGTAGGACGTGCTTAGGACAATCGAGAGTTGAGTTCTAATCCCAGGTCTCCCTTTCCCCGAAAAAATTTCCCATTATTCAAAAAAAGAAAAAAAGAAAAAAAAAAACTAAAGCATCATCCGAGAGAGACGAGATTCATATGAGAAAACATAAGTGAACGAGCCTCCGTCTGGGCCTCTAAAGATAAAGGTGCATGAACAGCCATTTGATCCCCATCAAAGTCTGCATTGAACCCCTTACAAACTAATGGATGTAAACAAATAGCACGTCCTTCCACTAAAATAGGTTGGAATGCCTGTATGCCTAATCTATGCAGAGTAGGCGCTCTATTCAGAAATACATGATGCTCCTGCATAACTTCTTGAAGGATTTCCCATACAATCGGACCTAACTTAGGTGTTGTAGGGCCATAATTTCCTAGCTGCTTGACACATTCATTTGCTCCAGACTTGTAATACATGGTATCAGTAAATCACATTTTGAATCTTTTATTGCTGTGGATCCCTACTTCATCCAATATATGAGTTCAATTTGACAACAAAACTAACTAAAACTTGTCCCAGAAATCCCCCACAATCTGATCAACAGGCTCCAACAAAAAAATGAACACCTGATCGTTGCAAGTAAACTCTCTAATTGATTAATGACATGGTTAATAGCAACAAAGGATGGTTCAAACCATGAAGAAATTCATAAAAAGCCAGTCATTTCTTGGGACAACTCAAATTACTCATTTCACCAGTATAGGCTTGCTTCCTAAAGAGTAAGATAGAATCAGTATGGAAAAGAATAGAAGTCTGAATGACTGTAACCTGCTGATGTATACATCCATCTCACCCCGCTTTGCCTACAAATGATTCAAGTTCCTGTAACCAGTTCACGTATTGCCCTTGCTCCTTCTCATGTAAATAGACGAGGAGGAATTTGGTCAGGCTTCCTCCAATGCCCCTTGCTACCAGATATTCCTTCAATGCTGTTTGTAATGCTGGATCCAAAGTGCTACAGATAAACATTGAACAAGAAAGTAAGATTATGAACATTAAACTATCTACTGACTACCATAAGTAACAGATTATGAATATTGCAACACCAACATACGTTACAGAACAAACGTTATAGTTATGTTTTTTGCATTACATGAGTAATTATGTTACAATAAATTTTAAAATAACATAGTAAAATGGCGAATAAGAGTATTTGGATTATAAACAGAAATCAACTATCAGCATTTAAACAGCTAAACTAAATACCCCCAAAATAATAAAATAACACAGCATACAACATTTTTGAACAAGGAGAGACATTCTTTAGGTTGGGAAGAAAGTAAGAAACCAATAAGAGGACTCCATATACATTTGACAAAAAAATATTCACCTGAATAATGGACCTCTGTATGCTGAAGAATTGGGACAAATTGAGGAATGGAGATAACAAGCATTATAGACGTTAAACTTGGGACCATGAGCACCATTCTCAGAAACTCCACAATCAAATTGCAACAAAGAGCTCAAGCCTGGCTTTTTCACACAAACCTTCATTAAAACTTCCCTGGGAAACTTACCCTCCCCTGCAAATGTCTCAGCACCCAACAAAGCCGAAACAGCAACCTCTTCACCCGACTCACATTTTCTCCGCAAAACTACATCTTGTGATTTTGATGAATCCCAGTCGAGTGTGAAATCTCCCAAGGAACCAACTTTATCACCCTGAACGCACAAACATACGGTTTGAAGCATAACCCCACCAACAACACTTACAAATCAAGGGCATAATCTAATAAGATATCAAAAACCGGCAAAAAAAAATCAGGAACCCATTACATCAATTAAACAAATTGTTAAGTAACCAGCTTGATTTCATTCAGTATTCATCATTTCAGCTCAAAAAAACTGGTAGAAGGAAAGAAATTGAAACATAAACATATAAGAATTGGGGGAGAGGGGAGAGAACCTGAAAAGGGTTGGAGTTTTCATGGGAGATCTCAGACTGCAAGACCTTAACCAAGTTAAGATCCTCCAGGGCTTTGCGTCCCTGGCGCAAGATTGGCGT